GGAGGAGGGCAGATTTAGGAGGGTGGAAGTAGAAAGGCTGACGGGTGAGGAAGTGTGTCTTGAGAAAGTGCAAGGCCTTTTCATAGGAGAGTAGTTATTGTGGTAAAATACACATCACATAACATTTACCATTATAAACTTTTTTTAAGTGTGCAATTTCATGGCATTAAGTATATTCACACTAGGGGCCCAGTGCACGAATTCATGCACCTTGAAAGGAACTGTGGGCCAGGAGGCTGTGGTGGGCACAGGGGCGGGTCTAGGCCCATCCTCTGTGCGCCTGCCCGACCCCTCTCGCCACAGCCCCCGGTCCCCTGTCTGGCAGCAGCCCTGCTCCTTGTGCCGCTTCCAATGCACTGATAGCGCCAGCCCTGCTTGCACCTGCTGACGGCGCTGAGTGATTGGGACTGGTGCTGGGCACCAGCAGCGGGTATGAGCAGCAGTTCCGGTGCTGGCAGCGGGTGCAAGAGGGGCCGGCGCCGACAGCGGGTGCGAGTGCCGGGCGGGACCGCGGCATGTGGGAGCAAAGAATTTTCAGTAACCACCAGAGGCTCGCCCTGATGACAGTGACCAGCACCCCGTCTTGGTCTGGTGCCCCCCGCTCATCTGCTCCACCACCCTGCCACGGCTGACACCTGCCATGTTCCACGCTCTGCTGCTTGCTGCCGAGGCCCGCCATGTTCCGCGTGCGCCCCCTGGTGGTCAGCACACGTCATAGCAACCGGTTGTTTGGTTCCACCGTTCGGTCTATTTGCATATTAGGGTTTTATATAGAGAGATTGCTGTGTAACTCTCACCAGTACCATTTCTAGAACTTTTCATCATGTCCAATAGGAACACTGTGTCTGTTAAACACTAATTCCACATCCCCTGCTCCCCCAGCCCCTGGTAACCACCAATCTACTTTCTGTCTCTATGAGTTTGACTATTCTAAGTACCTCATGTACGTGGAATCCTACAATACCCTACAGTATTTATCCTTTTGTGACTGGTTTAGTTCACTTAGCACATATTTTCAAGGTTCATCATGTTGTAGCATGTATTAGAATTTCATTCTTTTTTATCTTTATTGTTGAAAATATTACAGATGTCCCATTCCCTCCCTTCCCCCCCTCTCCACCCCCTTCACCCTGCTCCTGCCCCCTCCTCAGGCCTTCCCCACACTATTGTTTGTTCATGGGCTGTGCATATATGCATATAAGTTCTTTGGTTCATCTCCTTTTTGAGGCTAATATTCCATTGTGTGTATAATCCCTTTTTGTTTATCCACTCATCTGTTGGTGAGGTTTGGGTTGTTTCCACCACTTGGGTACTGTGAAGAATGCTGCCATGAACATGTGTGTGCAAGTATCTGTTCGAGTCTCTGTGTTCACTTCTTTTGGGTACATACCCAGAAGTGGAATTGCTGGATCTTATGATAGTTCTGTGTTTAACTTTTTGAGGAACCGCCAGATGTTTTCCACAGAAGCCGCACATTTTATATTCCCACCAGCGTTGCAAGAGGGTTCCACTTTCTCCTGGGGGAGGAGGAGTTGTATGTGCTCGGTATAAACCAGCTTGACTGGGGCCCAGATTTTACACGAGGCTGGATTAAGGAAGATCTTAAAAGCTGGCCATGGGATTGGTCCTTTATTCTGTGGGTTTTGGGATGCTGGTGAGGGCTCCTGAGCTCAGGGGAAAGCAGGATGATAGTGGTACTCCAGGAGGCTAAGGATCAAAGGATACGTGCAGGATGTGTTGGGCCCACGAAGTGGAACATGGTCCTCAGAAGATGGCAGTGATCCAGCTGGGAGACCTAGGCTCCATGTAGGAAGGCAGGAAAGGCAGGGATGAAAGTGGAGACACTTTTGGGCTCAGCGGTGCAGCATTGGCCACAACCTGTGCACCCTCATGTGGAGAGAGGACAAGGATATAAGTGTAAGCAGTGGTACCTCCTTGACCTCATGATTTCTGAGGTCCTACCTTGAAGATAGGAGGTTTAGAGGGGACCTGCATCTAGTTCGCTCCCTGTTTACTGAAGGCATAGACATTTGCAGCAGACCATGGAGCTGTATCTTGGATACTTGGAAGTATCCTCACCTAGTTGACCATCCTAGGGCTTGGCCCCCCTGAGTAGGGTAGGACCAGCGATGCTTGTAGAGGGAACAGAAACACCAAACTCAAAGTAAGATGGAGGGAAAGAAGGGAAAAGAAGGTGCCAGTTAGTGTGTCTAAACCAAAATGTGAGCTAGTTCCCAAGTTCTCATTTTGATCTCCCGTTTGCATAGTGTATAAAAATGATACAATCCCACAGAATACCACAGGGACGGTGTTTGTGTGGCCAGTTTGCTTTGCATTTGCCATTGTGCAAGCCAGCTTCTCCGTGGAAAAGCATTCCTGCCTCAGAATGCTTCTGCCCCTTTCGCTCGGTCCTTTTGTGTTTCCACCACTGACAATTTCTAAAAGATGCAAGGGTCCAGTTAGGGGCTGTCCTTTGTGTTACAGGAAGACTGAGTGCTCTTTGTGTCCAGGTGTGGGATCGTGAGCCCGTGGGTGGAGTGGGCAGATGGCTGGGTGTGGGTTTTAGTGGAGATAGGTTGCAAGAGAGTTTTAAATAACTTATTTAAAATAGATAGAATAAAGGGATCTACAATCAGATTTCTACACCATGATTAACTTAATTAGGCAGAGTGTGGGGAAATATGCTAAAAGGTTGATGTAATAACTGTTTCAGGGCATAGGATGTGGAAGACAATGAGACAGCGGCTGAAATGTGGCTGCAAGATGAGGCTGGGCGTGCTGGCCTGCCTGATAGCGGTGCCCCGCCCGGAAACCAGAACAAAGGCCGCCTGCCACACAGTTATCGGCGGTCACACAGGCTCGCCAGGGGCAGCCATCCCGACAGGGTTATAAGAATCACCATTAATAAGAACTATTACAATTCTCTGGGTTCTTTATAAATAGATGTCCTCTCTTGACACGGGTTTGTGTATATTTCTACCTGTGTTTTCAGATCTGGGGACTTAGATTTTTTTAAATGAATGATTCTTATCCTGGTGCTGAGAAAGAAAATGACTCCATTAAAAAAAAATCGCAGGCTGGTTTACATTTTTATCTGCAAGTTAAACTGTCAGCAGCCTTCGCCCCGCTTACTGCTGTGTGGAGAGGGTACGCTTGCTGACACGAGTAACGGAAGTTTGATGAGATGCAGCTGCCGACCCCGCAGGCCCGTTTGGGTTGTGCAGATACTGTTACCAAACTCGAATCCTCTCTGACTCAGCCAACCTGGTTTGGACCCTGGGAGCCAGTGGTTTGCCCAGCTGTGTAGACACCTTAGCGGTGGGGGAAGAGCCTGTTTCCTCAATGAGCACTAGTTGCCCCAGAGACTCCACAGGCTTGGAAGGGGACCATTCCCATGTTCCCCGAGGCCCTTGGAGCTTCTTAAGAAACGAACCTCCTGCTTTCCTCCATGAGGGGCCCCTGCAGGGACTCTGAAATCTATTCTAGCAGGAGCGCAGCAGAACTTCTCTCTGGTCCCTGACTGGAGGGCTGCTGAGCAGCCTGCCCGGCACCCAGGGAAGCCAGGAGGGCTTCAGAGAGGACTCCCTCCTTGTGGCTGCGCCAGGCCCTGGGTCACCGCGCTCAGTGCCGGCGATTGCACGTTTTGCATCTCCAGACAGGCCCGTGGGGCCGCTGTGAGAAATGACACTGAAAATGTGCAATGCCAAAGCCCTCTCTGCCGCACCTGAAGGAGATCCAAGCTCTGGACAGGATCAAAGAGGCTATAAACCCGGGGTGTAGGATGAAAGCTCCTGTGAGGCGGAGAACAGAGAGCAGAACTTGGCCGTGTTTCTAAAGACCTGTAGTTCCCACCAAAGGAAAAGAGGAGGGAGGAAGAGGGAGGGAGCAGAGAGAAGTGGTTTGGGAGAGGCCTTGAAAACTGGAGCTGACCCTAGGCTGATCTTTTCCCTGGAAGCTTGCTTTTGTAGCTGCTCAAAGACTGGGAGGTGCTTTCTAGCTAGTGTGGGGATTAAGAGGAAGGAAGGGACATGGAAAAAAACCATGGCAAATCACAGATAAGAGATGAGGAAGCTTATCTGGTGATTTGTTGAATTTGACTTTTTTTTTTTTTAACTATCGGAAAAACGCCATAATACCGGTGATATTGGGAAGGCCATGGAGCGTAGGCGCCCCGGGAGCCTGTGTGCACTAGATAGGAGAGTTCTGGTGGGCCAGGCCCGAGGGAGGCTCACCCTGAAAGTTGAGCTGAGATAGATGCTGGGTCACATCTTCAACGAGACAAGCGAGACTGTGGAGTTTCAGGAACAGTGACATGGGGTGGAGCACAGTTTTGGGGTGGGGGGTGTCCATAAGTAGACTTGCTCTGGAGCACTGACCTATGATGCTTCTCGGGTAGGAAGGACGATATGAAATTAAGATGTGTGCCTGCCATGGTGCCGGTATTTTGTTTTCTGCTTTAATGCTTCCAGAAACGTCCAGAGGGCCACCTGACCCATAGCAGCGGCCCCAAGCCACTCCCAGTTACCTTGAAGAGATCACTCTGGTCAGTTCATCTGAAATGGCTATGATTTTTAAGAGATAATATTAACGCAGTATTTAAATTAAATATAATAATTATATTTACCAAATCATATTGCAGAAAATGAAGGTAGGAGAAGCAGAAAAGAAAAAGCACATAATCCCACTCTGCATCATAGCCAGTTTTATTTAGACATATTGCTTTATAGTTCTTTCTTTAATGCGTCTAAATATAGTTTCGTTTCCAACATTACAAACTTCCCCCCACGTTTTTATGAAGTCTTCATAACTGTGATTTTTAAATTAACGGCATTTTGATTTCTTTGGGGATATTTGAAAGTGGCAGCATTTTGAGTTTTCTCATATTAGAGGTAGAGGTTTAATTGTAATTTAATTTGTGTGCGTGTATGTGTTTAAAAGGCATTTTATGCTAGATCTCAGCTATTAAAAAACACTGTCTTTTCTCGTGTTTCTGTTAACAGGGATCTACCGCACAGAAAAGGATAAAGGCACTTTGTATGAGCTCACATTCAAAGGGGACCACAAGCACGAATTCAGACGCCTTGTCCTGTTTCGACCGTTTGGCCCTATCATGAAAGTAAAAAAAGAAAAACTCAACATGGCCAACACGCTCATCAACATTATCGTGCCACTGGCAAAGAGGGTGGACAAGTTCCGACAGTTCATGCAGAATTTCAGGTTTGTGTGTTTGCACCTGTTTGTCTTCCCCCATGTGGTGCGTGTTAAGTGCTGATATCGTTTCCCGTCATCTCCCTCATTTCCCCCGCCGAGGACAAAGGCGTCTTTCTCTTCTTGTTCAACTCTGTTTTCTTCACATCACCTTTATCATTTGTGTTTGCCTTTCCCTAAAGCAATTAGAAAACCGCCAGATAAGCAGATGTACCTTTGGAAGGGAAACTGGGCAGGACTGGGTTTTCCTCGGGATCTACAAAGAAGGCCTCCGCCTGTGGCGTTCAGCTCTAACTTGAGTTTGGGCTCAGGTCTGGGGCCAACAGGGGCCATGCTATCGCACCGGTAGAGTGGGCCCTCTCCCAGGCTCTCAGAGGCGGGCGCCACGGCCGTGGACTTGTGCTGGAAGCTGGCTTCATTTGCTGCCCTGCTCTAGCAGTGGCCGGAGTGGATTGAATCAGAATCTATTTTTTATTCTAATCTATGTCCCCCGAGAATACATTTAGAATTGTGCCAAGGAATTTCCACGCAGTCATTTCTGTAGCTACTCAAGGAGACTAAGAAGACTAAGGGGGTTTTATTTTCAGATGCAGGAATGCTGTTTTACCTATGTGTCTTTAAAGCCTTGTGCAGTGTTGGAGCTTATAAGCTGTTATGGCTACATTCACTTACTGGTCGAGGTTAATCAGCTAACTTACTTAGCCAACTTGTTTTAAAGATAGCAAGTCACACACACACACACACACACACACACACGATAGCAAGTCATAGGTATCTAATTATAAATCCTGGAAGATCAGACTTATTTTTATAATCTTTTATCATTAAATTCACATTATTCAAAGCCATTAATGCTTCATATAAAGGTATGGTTGATACTTCTCAAAATTCTGGATAGTGAATGTACTCTTTTTTTTTTAATTTTTACATTTGAAGAGGAACCCTTTTCTAATTAAATTTTAAGGTCAGAATTCAGTAGTCTTAGAAGAGACTTTTGAGGGTCATTTACTCTAATCCTCCCTTAGTTCAGAATCCTTGAGAGTTCTCCTGACATACGCTTTTTCTATGCAATGTGCGTGTATGCCAGGTAACTACCTACTTAAAGGTAGGCTGTGCTTATGTTGAACAGCTGTAGATAGAAAGCACACTTTTATTAGGACCTGAAGTCCACCTTCCTGTAATTTCTACACAGTGGGTCTGAAGAAAGGACTGAACAAATTCATTTTCTATTAAACATCGTAGCCTTTCAGGTATTTGCAGAAAGCCATGGTAACTCCCTTTGTCTCTTCTGTGGTATCATTCGGAGTAGGGTGCACCGATCTTTCCGTCCATCTCCAGTTTGTAGGGTACCCCTGTGGGCACCATCATTTGACTGTTGACCACATTCTTCTGGCTTTAGTACTGAAGTGACTATGGTGTTGGCTTTTGTCTCCCTTTGGTGTTTCTAAGTTCTCTCCCTGTGTTCTCTTAGAAGGACTGAACCTGTGGCTGCACTAGGCATTAAGCCAAATCATTACTCCCAGAAGCAGGTGTGCCCATGTCTAGGACTAGGTCATAGTAAGTTCCTTTAGCCAGGAAGCTGCCTAGTGCTTGCCAGATTAAGGGCCCTGAGATTTGCTTCACTGCACATAGGCTAGTCTCTGAGTGTGCTGGGCTTGGTAAGGTAGTGCTTGTGCTAAAGGAATGTCTGCTCAGTGAAGGGCCAAGTCATCAGCCTAGGACCCCAAGGGCTTGGAAGCCTTGAATAGTAAGATATGTATGACTGCCATATATAGCACAATATATGTAAGATATGTATTGCCTTAGTGTCATGAGTATTACAAGGAATTAACCTAGAAGGGAAATATTGTTGGAAAAAAGTAAATAAATAGCTCACAAGACACCAAAATTGAGAGGGTAAAATACAATGTAGTTCTAGTCAATGTTTTAAAAACAGACAAAAATCCTAGGGTCTTTTTCCTTGACTATCACTCTTGAGATGCCTGTTGTTGCCTGTAGCCGGGGGGCGGGGGGGGGGTCGGGGGTCGGAAGACCTGTTACGTGGGGGTGGGGTGGGTATTCAGGCGGCCTGTGTGTGTGCCGGACACTCCACCAAACGCAGGGCTGAGAAGAGGAGATAGAGATGTAGCGCCCGCCTTCGTGGAGAGGAGATCTACTCATAGGAAGCTAGAAGCTACAGCAGAAATAGACACAAGGGACAGTGGGACCCAGAAAGGCAGCCCAGGACAGAGGACACTTGAGCAGAAGCCTGAGTGGGGAGTTTGCTCTGTAGCCCAGGTTCTGAGTGTACTGAGGTCTCTGAAAAAATGAGGTGAGAGATGGCACTCAAACCTGAGGCTGTTTAATTCTGTGAGAACTCAGTAAAGGTGGTGTTTCAAGCCAGTCAGCAGAGGATGAACTGTCCAGTGCATGGCTTTAGCACAGTTAATTACATGTGATTCTTCACACCAAAACCCAGAGTAAATTCCAGTCAATTAAATATTTAAATGCAGGTAATATGACCATAAAAAGTATTGGGAGAAAATGTAAGGGGCTGTTTATTAAGTATTTGATGTTGTCTGTATGAAGTCCCTTCCATCCCAAGACAGAAAATTATTAGCTGTGGTAGGCACTGACTCCTGTTGGATTCTCTCTGTCTTATAAATAGTTACCATATATTTTGTTTAAAAATTCAGTGACAGGTTTTGGGTTGTTCTGTGCTTTTGTAATTTAAACATGACTTTTTAGTTTGTAAAAGTGATCCATGGCTATTATAAGACCTTTAAACAATATAGGACACAACAAGGATTAAATTATTTACAAATTCACTCCTGACTCTGCCTCCCCAAATTCATCATTCTTAATATTAATTGCATATTGTTCTAGGTGCCTTTCTTTGTATATTTGCAGATGAAAAAATAACTTGCTGCTCTAGCTGGTTTGGCTCAGTGGATAGAGCATCAGCCTGTGGACTGAAGGGTCCTGGGTTTAATTCCGATCAAGGCCACATACCTTGGTTGTAGGCTCTTCCCCAGCCCAGGCCTGGTCAGAAGTCGTGCAGGAGACAACCAACCAATGTGTCTCTCTCTCATCGATATTTCTCTCTGTCTTTCCCTCTCTCTTCCACTCTCTCTAAAAATCAATGGGAAAATATCCTTGGGCGAGGGAAAAAAAATAACTTGCTATCTGGGAATAATTTAATACAACATGAGATATACTGTGTGTTCTATTTTTAATTAAATAATTAAATTTTACCTTACTTAAATTTATGGAAGAGAATCTGAAGTACCATAGAAGAAATTGCTGATCTTTAAGAAAGTGTTTCTCAACTATAAGAGATCCCTCTAAAGTTGCAAAAGTGATTTTTCAAAACAGAGAAGATTGGAATTATTATGTAATTTTTACTACATAATACTTTTAATTTTAGACTGGATTGGTTGCAATTACAATAAGAAGAGAAAATCAGCACACTGATGCTTCCTTCCTCTCCTGCGTCCCATTTTCCAATTTTTTCAGCTTTGTATTACTTTTACCTTCTCAGGGTTTGCAGCGTTTACATTCTGTTTTATCCAGTACTTCCAGTACTTACATGGATTCACTGTTTTCATTAGCAGTTCTCCAACAATAGCTTCTTCAATTCTGAGGCCTTGGTTGAGTCAAGAAATTCCTTCAAGAAGGATCATACATTCTTCGGACTAGAATGTCTGCTCATTATCTTGATGCTTTAAGTGTCACCTGGCCGAACTTAAAATTCTCGGGGGACACTTTCTTTCCTCAGGACTTTGTAGATATTCTTTTGGCATCTAATGGTACCATGAAGAAGTGTTAGGACAATTTTAGTCTCTTCTGAAAATGACTTACTTTTGCCTGAATGTCCAAAGAATTCTTTCTTTAGTCTTGAATCATAATAGCTTAATTAGGATATGTCTCTGGTCAATGTCTATTGTGTTCTCTCAGATTTCTCTATAATTCAGTTTCCTATTTTGCTGTGTAAATTCTTCTGTTTCAGGGAACTTTTTTTGCTGCTCTAATTTTGAGTACCTTTCCCGCTTCATTTGTTTGGATTCTCTGTTTTGCAGACACAATTGTGTATTCTCAGGTGTTCTCAATTTTTTACTTGTTTCTCATTTTTTAATGCCTTTGTATTTTATCTGTTTTCACATAAGCCTTTTCTTTATGAGGAATTTGGTTTTCAGATATGTCTATTCTGTACTTTGGTATTTTTAATTATTCTGTTCAGTTTTTTGTCCATTTATCAATGTGTTTTCTGAGCATAGAATATGCCTAGGAACTGTTGTTTTTGTCATATCCTCTTTGAACTTTAAAAAATGGAATTCACATTTTTATTAAGAAAGTGTGAAACATTCGTAAGACATTTTCTTCTGTTTGAGTTATCTCTTCTTTCAGATTTGGTTTTTCATTGGCTTTTTGAATGCTATTTCTCCCTTAATTCTCTCTCTTTCTTCCTTTAATTTTGTTGTTATTCTTGAAATGTGGTAGGTGTGATGTTTGTTTTCATCCCTCTTCTTTATGGCACACTGAGGGCCATCCAGCCCCTTTGCTCTGATGTCAGAGTGGATTCTTCTTGGCTACTTTCGAGTCTTGACTGAGAACTGTTTGTGTCCCGCTCCCAGCGATATTCTGCGGACAGGGCATTTATTGTTCCATTTGCTTCATTTGTAGTCTGAAAGAACATGTAGAAGAGAGGAAGAACTCAGCTGGGGTTTTGTGCAGCCTTTGTTGGAGGATCCTACTTCCTGTGGCTCTTCTGAGTCCTGGTATGGATCTGGGAGTTGCACCAGGCTCACTTGACCCAACTGTGGATGGATCTTTTCCCTGAGGGGTAGATTATTTGTCTCTCAGAATGGGCCCTTGGTCAAGGATTGAGGCCTGGAACATCAGAGAGAATCAGCCCCATTTGTTTACTTCTCTTAACTCATTTATGTGTTGTCTTCAGCAGCTCTTTCCACAACTCCCATAAGTCCAAAAGAAGAGAAAAGATAAAGCTTTGTTCCTATATTTAAAGGTGTGTGTATGTCAGGGGAAGACATGTATAAGATATGTCATCTGCCTATCGGCATCTCTTATCTCTTCTCCTTTTTCCGCTCTTATGGTGGATCTTGACAATGTGATGGTCTTTTGTCCTTTGGTTCTGCCAAGTACACCCTTTTTGGAAGGGTTACTTTACAAAGAACAATTAGGTTAGTTCTACCTTTCTTCTCTACTTTCTACCTGATGTGGAGAGACCAAATATTCCACTGTGGCTCTTTCTGTGCTGAGATCCTGAAGTGAAAATTGGAGATCCTCTCTCTCCCCAGCGCAGCCATCCCTCTGGGCTGCCTTCCCCCGACCCCGGCTGCTTCTCCAGCTCCTCTTTCTGAGGCAGCTGCTGGAGGTGGAAGCCACATGAAGCTAAAACAAAATCGTCTGTTTCTTTCCTTGGCCTCCTGTTTGTGATGTTTAAGACATAGGTGTGTGTCCCTTTCATTGGTCATTTAGTGGTAGCAAGACCTTAGCCATTTTCCACATTTTGGTACATGGCTTGCAGTTGTCATTGTTTGAAGTTAATTTACTTAAAGCATTATCTACTTAAAGCATTATCTTTTAAAAGGTAAACGCCCTGTACACTACTCAACTGTTACTGCGTCATTCCATCCTGCCTTGTACTATAGCTCTTCAGCAGTCCGTTTCTTCCAATGCACTGTGAAAAGGCAGGTGTGGTGACCAGTTGTCCCAGTCACTTGGGGCTGAGGAGTTTTCTTGCGATGTGGACTTTCAGTGCTAAAACATGGAGAATCCCAGGGAAACTGGATAGTTGGTTCCCCAACAGGGCCATACATGATTGTTCTTCTTACTTGTGACACAATGAGAATAATGCATTGCACAACCAAATTGGCTCGCGGGATCCAGGCAGGCTGTGTCCAGGTACAAATCATTACAGCAAAACACAGACAGCTTCATGTCCAGTCATCCACACACACACTCTTTCTCATTCACATCGTGGGGATGGAGTCTAGTGAGAATTCTCTGAAAAATACAAATGTTACAAGACCATTCAGACAGACAGTGATGTTTCCATAGCACTCTGCTCCTTCTCTCATCAAGCATTTGTTTGTTGCATTACAGACGGTTTCAGTCATGAACAAGAGGAGCGCTTCTCACGGGCAGGAGTGTCTGACTCATTTTTAAGCTCCCCTGGTAGAGTATCTGGCACACAGCCTGTTGTTTGTTTGGTTATTGTTCGTTGAATGGAGGAAGGAATAAATGAATAAATGGCAGGGAACCCCAGAGTGGACCTCTGGACAAATTCTGCTTTGCCTTCTCGGGAAGCCTCAGCTGCTGAATGGACAGTAAAGGTCCAAAGTGTCTGTTCTATTCCTTGAAAACAGGAAGTGTTTTGAATGGATTTTAAAATGCCAGAAACGATATCCCTAGGGGGGAAAACACACACATGAGAATGCTTCTTTATTCAGGCTCAGCGCCTGACCCTCTAATGATTCTGGGATGGACTTCTTCCAACTGCAGACACTTTAAAGAACAGATTTTTGGGTGCTTGGCGCTGTGTGCGTGCTTTCATTCTACCTGGTGAGTGTGCAGGAGGGATCATTTACCTACAGAGAATTTCATTGTCGGTAGGTGATGATTCAGTCTGCAGGGACTGGGGCTCCGAGGGAGCTCTGCGTATTAAAGCTGCCTCATCCGGGGCCTCGTGTGTTTGGTCCCGTGTCTGCTTCTAGGAGCTCTGCCATCAGTCTGGGTTTCAGAGGCAGCTCTTACCTTTCTTCCACAGGAAATAAACAGAATTCTCAGAACCACGCCTGTGAGCCGGCAGAGCCCTGAGTGCCTCTTGCCCTGGGTCAATATACTAGTAACCGTGCCTTAGATTTCTCCCACCTGGAATTCTCTTCTTCCTCCTCTACCTTTTTAAACCCCGTCCATATTTCAAGGCCCCAGCCCACAGAATTCCCCGTGCTTTCTGAATTCGCTACATTTTTTATCAATGCCATGAGGTGTCCGTATTTTATTTGAGCTGATTTTATTTCTTATGTAAGTTTTTTGAGGTGAGGAACTGTATCTTCTATTTCTTTGGATTTCTCCCAGCCACCCGAGCTAGACAATCACTCCTTTTTGAAGTCATTATAAAATGCATCGAATAAATTGGCCTCTGCAATTAGAGCACACAGATTTCCAGAACGCTATGATATGGATTGTTGTTTGGGGGTTAAGGAAAGTAGCTAACACAGAGACAAAAGGAATAAAATGGAAGGACATGCAAAATATCAAGATATCACAAAAGATCGTCTTGCCAGTAGAATCTTTCCATTAACGTGCTTCCAGAAAACACCTGTAAAATTATGCACACACATACACATATATGTATACACAGACATGTACACCTAAACACATATTTACGCAGATACTTTGGCCTACACATATCTGCACATACATGTACACACACTACACATAGAGATGAAGTAAGTGCTCAGCAGAGGATCATACTGTGGTAGCTACACAGAAACTAGGTGTTACCATTGAGAGAGCAGGACATGGGCAAATAACAAGCTTTAGTGGGGACAGCAGGTGTAGACCAGTCCAGAGCCGGAGGCCCGGCACTGAGAGGGCTGCCGGGACCCTGGAGTATGAGGTGCCCGGTGCCTGGGACAGAGTCACAGGGAGGAGAAATGGGGACGTAGTGAAAGTAGGTGTATCTGCTTGGGAAGGGTGACCGGCTGCAGCTGTGCCTATGCCTTATCATTCCCTTGGACAGTCATGCCCCTGGGTGTTCCCAAGAGTTTCTAGAGTCCCAAATGGAAAAATGTTTTTACCTTTACACGTTCAGTCTTTAAGACTGTTTGGCACACAAGAGCAAAGTCAGGGACAAGGATTCTGGTTTCAACCTCTCGGGGCTTTAGCTTGCTCATCTGTACAATGGAATTTGTGTGTTATTTATTTCATAGACTTCTGATGGCAAAGAAGGGTAGGATCAGTGCCCTTCCCATGGCACTGGGTGTCGCAATGGGCTAGGCCTGTGGTAGATTGGACCTGTAGCCTTTAAGTTTCTATTGACCAGAACTGCACATTTAAATTTCATTGTTTCTTGGTAAAAATCAATACAAATACAGGTCATTGTTTTGGTCAAGCTTATTTTAAGACCCTTTTGCACTTTACAAAATAGGTTATTTGCTTGGGCCTTTCCTGTTACTGTGGAAACAGGTCCAGACATACACATGTTTTATTTTCTAGGGAGACATGCATCCAACAGGATGGGAGAATTCATCTCACCGTTGTTTACTTTGGGAAAGAAGAAATGAATGAGGTCAAGGGAATACTTGAAAACACTTCCAGGTAAGTACGACGTGGAGCCATAATCAGGAATTATGGTCACTGAGCTCATACACATCCAAGGCTGAAACTCCGATTTTTGTCTTATTATCCAGAGGCAGCTCTTACCTTTCTTCCACAGAATTCTCAGAACCATGCCTGTGAGCAGGCAGAACCCTGTGTGCCCCTTGCCCTGGGTCAATATACTAGTAACCGTGCCTTAGATTTCTCCCACCTGGAATTCTCTTCTTCCTCCTCTACCTTTTTAAACCCCGTCCATATTTCAAGGCCCCAGCCCACAGAATTTCCTGTGCTTTCTGAATTCGCTATATTTTTTATTAATGCCATGAGGTTAGTTGGTTGCTGGCCGTGTGTAGGGGGAATTCTGCCTGACACTGGTGCTCATTGTGCAGGGTGTTGTTGATTTTGACTTTGAGATAAACTGCTGTGAGCAGCCAGGATAGGGAGCATGGGCTTCTTTGGGCTTCCGCATGATTGGATGTCTTCACTTTCAGCACTGCAGGTTTGAGGTCTTTATGTCACAGAGTGGGAATTGGGGAGGGCACGGCTGTGCAGTCAGCGCCATCTCAGCCACAGCTTGTAAGGCTAAGAGTGATATCCATGCTTGGATGGCACTCACTCAGCCAATGGTCTCACCCTTCTGATTTTCATTCATTATGCATATTGAGAGAGGAGAGGGAAGCAGGAAGTGATGACTGGGCAGGATCCTTAATTAAATCTATTCAGTTGAACAGAAATTATTTAACTAAAAACTTTAGACTTAGGATTTATATTTATACCCCATTGACCAGTTGTTAGGAAAATAAATATGTTTAACGACAGTAGAGATGGATTTTTCCCCTACAGATATTTAGTTAATAAATAAACATCTATGGCATTTTCTACTAGTGAGGAAGCTGGAATGGTACTGCCATGCTCCCTTGTGGTTTGTTTTGGATGTTTGCAGGGTTTCAGTTGAGTAATCGGAGGGGGTGGGAGGGTAGTTTCTCCGTAAGTGAAGCTTAGAGGGTGGTAGTGGCAGAAATAGTCTGAATAGGTCCAAATTGTTAGAAATGCTCTTAAACGGTGTCATGGGAATGAGACAGACACTTGAAAATGGCTTGGTGCTTAGCCAATCAAAAAGTTGATGGGCAGACAGACCAATCAGGAAGTCCATTCTCCTTTTATCCCTGACTCTTCGCTGCACCATGCTCTGATTGGCTTAAGAAAGTGGCTTCAGGTTCTGGCTCGAATGACTAATTCAAGTGGAGTGGTGCAAAGGGGGTGGGGTTGTTCTAGGACCTAGAACAGCGGTTCTCAACCTGTGGGTCGCAACCCCTTTGGGGGTAGAATGACCCTTTCACAGGGGTCGCCTAAGACCATCGGAAAACACATATATAATTACATATTGTTTTTGTGATTAATCACTATGCTTTAATTATGTTCAATTTGTAACAATGAAAATACATCCTGCATATCAGATATTTACATTACGATTCATAACAGTAGCAAAATTACAGTTATGAAGTAGCAACGAAAATAATTTTATGGTTGGGGGTCACCACAACATAAGGAACTGTATTAAAGGGTCGCGGCATTAGGAAGGTTGAGAACCACTGTTCTAGGTTAAGCTACAAAATGGAGATTTATATAAAAAGGAAATGGAGTCAGTATCTAAACTATACCTGTGACAGAAAAGACTTTTTGATTCTCACAATATGGCCTAAATATAAACAGAACCTCTGTTTTGAATTTCTGGTAAATGGTAATCGGATGACAGTCAGAGGATAAGATTCCAAGATTGGGTGCACTCTGTATTTATTTTCATGCTTTGTTACTAATTTTGTATTAATGGGCACAAGAACAGAATGCTAATTATACTTATTCAACCATTCTGAGGCAGTCCCCTAGCCAAATGTTGCCCACCACTTCTTTCTGTAAGTTTTGTTGGAATGCAGGCATGCTCATTTGTTTATATACTATTTATGGTGGCTTTTGTGGTACAGCTGCAGAATTGAATAGTTGTGACAGAGAATGTATGACTCGCCAAGCGTAAACTCTCTCCTCTCTTGTCCCCTCCAGAAAAAGTTTGCTGAATTCTGTTTTAAATCAGTTGTGAGTTAAGAGTTTAAAACCAGTAACAGCTTAAAGCTACGGCCTCTGTTGAAGGGAGATCAAAGAGAATAAAATAGTTGAATATCCTAAATGTGAAATAGAAATATCTCTACTGCAATGGGCTGCAATATCCTTTTCACCTCTGCTTAGGAATGGGGAGTATGAATTATTAGAATTCGTGTCCTCTGCACTGTGGATAGGTTTTAATGTCTCTGGAATTATCCATCTCTGGGAGTTGATCTTTTTAAAGTTTCCCAGATGATTCTAACACGCAGCCAGGATTGAGAGCTTTTGTCTGAGAAAGTGGCGGTCCACGCCAGGGGCTGTCCAGGAGAGGCCTTGATGGCAGCCAGCTGCCCATTCCGAGGTGTTTGTAAATAGCTCTCCAGGTGACCCTCAGTCCTGTTAGGTCTGGCACCTTCCCAGGACAGCAAAGGATGACCAGACATTTGCTGATAGATACATATAACCAAATTTACCCAAGTCTGATGGATGATATATATGACAACTTACATGAGAATCTTTTAAAATCATTTTTATCATTCTTTGAAGATGGTATGACTCTTATTCACATGCATCTTATCTTTGAATAATAATCATTATTATTATTTTCGTGGATGATCTTTAGTATTCTCAGCAATGTCACAAGATAGATGCTATTAGCCCCATTTCAAAAACTTAGCGAGGTTGTTTAGACATTGTTATGGGAAATACCCTTTCAAATGACTAGAATGCTTACGGACTCTTATTATCAAAGGCATTTTTTCACCATATCAAATTACCTGACAAGCTGAATTCTCAATCAGCAGGTTGCTTGGTGAGCAAAGAATGAAGAGAATATGATCAAGAAAAGTAACATCATTTAAGTGGTAGGGATCCTTTACTTGAAAAGTTGAAAAATTTCTAGGGGTTAATCTACCCATAGCAGAGAACGTCGTGTTAGAGACTGAATTGACCAGTGCTTTAAAGAAAGAGGTGCTACAGAAATCTTGGCAACATTTATTGGAACCCCATTTTTCTCTGTGGATGTCCTCATTCTGTTAACTGGTGATATCTGCAGTATTGATGCCACTGATGCCTTGGGGCCTGTCCTACACCCTCCATTGTGTTGCTTTGATCAGACCATCTCTCCTAGGAATGCCCCACTCTCTGCAGCCAGCCTGAGTCCATAGTAATCCAGTTGAAAACTTAAATAAGAAGCTTTTAAAGTCATCTTTATCATTCTTTTAAGAAGGTATAACTCTTGTTCACATGCATCTTACCTTTGAATAATAATAATTATTATTATTTACATGGAGGATCTTATTTAATTTTCACAGCAACCTCACAAGATAGTAGTAGATGCGGTTAGCTGCATTTTAAAAACTGAGGCTGAGTGAGGTTGTTACTCAGGCTGCCACCCGACACCTGGGAGAGCCAGGATCTGAAGCTTGTCTGTGAACTTCCAGGACTCACGCCTTGAACTCTTCACTCCAATGTACTCCATCCTAAAATCCATAATTGTTAGTTGAAAGTAATGAGATATGAAATCAGTCTAAATGAAATTTATTTCATTTGGGTATCAGTATTGTGATTAAACTGCTCTAAATGCAGCTAAGTATATAGTTAAGAATATCTTTTCAAAATCTACTTTGATGACTATGTGCAATGTTTTACTCACTCAGTTTATGCTCACTCAGTTGAGCTTTACTTTTCAGTTGATTGCTATAAATCAGTGCTTTGCAAACTGAAGTTTGTGATTTATTAGAAAGTTGTGAAATAGATTTATGCTCAGTATTACAAAATAATTGAAATAGAGTGGATAGAAGCTATAAGTAGTAAGGATAAATATTGTTTCATTAAATTTTAATTTCTGTGTGTGTGTGTGATAATATATAATACTAGAAGCCCATTGCATGAAGATTCGCGCAGTAGGCCTTCCTTCCCCTGGCTGCCGGCACCGGTTTTCCTCTGGCACCTGGGACCCAGGTCTTTGGTCCGCTGTGGCCGCAGCGAGGCTTGGCTTCTCCTCCAAGCCTCTTCAGTCTTCAGTCTTCAGTCCCTGCCTGCGTATGCAAATTAACCGCCATCTTTGTTGGCTTAATTTGTATAGTCGCTCTGATTGGCTGATGGGCGTAGTGGAGTGACATCAATTTGCATGTTTCTCTTTTATTAGTGTAGATATTCCTTTATAAGATCTTTGGTAAAAATATTTACCAAAGAAAGCAGTATCAATCAGTTCTTAATATCTGATTCTTATTCCACAGAGTTTTCCATATTAAGCTTTAGTTAATCACAGGTTACAGCCTCTCGCTCAGTGGTTCTCAAATATAAGTGTGCTTTGTATAATCTGGGATGCTTTTAAAAATGCACATTCCTGGGACCCAACCCCAGAAATTCTGAGTCAATAGGCCTGAGATTAAGCTTAAGAATCAACATTTAGAATGAGTTCCATATGTTGATGTGGGTGGTCAATGGCTCCCACTTTGAGAAATTCTGGCTGAGGTAGACATATGCTTGGAGCTACACACAGTAAGTCCTCAATGTCATCAAGAGGATCTGTGACTTTAAGTGAAACAGTGTATAAGAAAACTAATTGTACCATAGGCTACTTGATATAAACAAGAGTTAAGTTCCTATGACATATCATCAATCTATAATAATAAAAACATAATATGCTAATTAGACCGGACATCCTTCCAGATGTCATTCCGTGGAAGCCAGGGTTGCGAGGGAAGCCTGGGTCTTGGGTGCCTGCTGGGTGCCAGAGGGAAGCCGGTGCTGGCAGCTGGGGGAAGGAAGGCCTACTCTTGCATGAATTTCGTGCTTTGGGCCTCTAGTGTTAAAATAAAACAATGTTGGCCATGCCAATGTTATTTGAGGACTCTTTAATATTTTGGAAGAGTTTTGAGAAGGATTGGTGGAATTCA